TATGTGATAGGTGTAGACCTGGGGCCTTTTGGAAGAGGTGGTCTGGGGTTCAGTTCAGTGTGAGCGCAAAATGTGCCTGAGCACAGAAATCTCAATAGATCACAGTGCACAGAAGCAGGCATCACTGTGGTCTGGCTAGCAGAGGTGACATTTTAGGCATACCCAGGAAGGCTTTCTTATAGCAAACTGTGATTGGAGAGATGTTCAACTATGCCCAATGTGAGTACACCATTAATCAAGTGCATGTTGACCAGAAGGGGCTAAAAAGGATGGGAAAGATCGGCAGCACAAAGTTGCATACAAGAGTTTAAATAAAAGAAAAATCTATTTAATGGAAAAAATGGCAATTGTTTCTGATACACAAAGGGGTTGATTGACTAAAGGCAAATAGACTGTGCACTCTGCAGGTGCAGTTGCAGTCATTTTCCCCAGAGCTTAGTAAATGTGGTAAAGCTCTGCTGATTTCCCTCATCCATTCATATGTATGAAGAGACTTCAGATACCAGTTCCTTACATTCAAGCATACCAGAGGCACTCCCCGTGCCTGAAAACTGATAGGGTTATAGGACATAATTTAAGTCATGTAGCATTGGAGGAAGTTTATGGAATCACCTTTTAGTATGAATTTACTTCATTGGGTAACTTCAGAATTTCTGCCTTATGGAAGTTTTTTGTGATTCTTCCCTTAGAAGTATTGTGACCCGAAGTATCAGAACTTACCAATCCGACCCATATACCTGGTCTGGTAGGTTACGGTTCTAGATGTGTCCTTGGTCAGAACATTATGTAGCAAGCTAATATGAATGTCCGGAAGCAGGGATCAGCTTAATTTAACATTCACCATTAACAATAGGCACCCGATGGTGTTGGAGTGGAATCAGGTTTCAGACATCAGACAGGACACCAGATTTATGTGGAATAGTTCCAATCATTATGTACCAAGCTCCTTACGGTTTAATTTATCTGCATTCTACTGCAGGTGTATAGGAAGCTTTGGTGTATATAGAGCACTTTCATAGCTAGCATACCAGCATTCAGGTGTGAGGAAGCCACAGAAATTCTTTGGTTGGGTACATACCTGTCCAGACTTTCTAAGCCTATGTAGTACCTTCCTTCAAATCTATTACCCATAAGTAGGCTGCCTTTTAGCCATCACTGATCAACCAAAAAAAAAGAGGTTCCACAAAGTGTCAGGGAGCTTTTCCTAAGTTATTTGCCAGTACAGAGTACTGTTAAGCAGGATCCTCTTCGTGTGTCCTTGTTTCACAGAACAAGTTACCGCTTAGTCCTTTAAGGGATCCTAAGAAGTGGTTACAGGAAAGGCCATGATTGATAGATGGTTTAGACAGTGGACCTCTCTAACCTACGAAATTTAGTTTCTTCTAATTCCATCAGCTTTAAGAGTAAGAGCACACTCTACTAGATCCGGCATCCGGCTGGACAAGGCAAGACATCAGTGGAGCAGATCAGCCATAGGATCCAGCCAAGATACTTTCATTGGATGTTTGTATAGTGAAGGTACACTCAAAGCAGGATCTTGCGTTTGGCAGAAGGTCCTGCAAGCAGTGGTCCCACCCTAAGGTAGGCCTGCAGATACTTGATTATCCTCCCAGGTGTGCCGTCCTGGAAGGGGAGAGTAGAAATACAACCAGTAGACCCAATCAGCTGCAAGGAAAATAAAAATACAACCGTTTGACTTACCGGTAACAGTGTTTCTATGAATCTTCCAGGGTGGCAGGCCTACTTCCCACCCTATTAAGGGGAGAGAACTCCTGTAGGGAGGAGCCTCTCATCTCTCAGGTGTGCCTTCCTGGAAGGTTCATAGAAATACCATTACTGGTAAGTCTAACGGTTGTATTTTTATTTTCCTTGCAGCTGATTGGGTTTTATTCACAAGGTGAAGCTTTACCACATTTACACTTACTAAGGAAAACAAGGGCAACTGCACTTGCAAAGTGCAGAGCCTATTTGCCTTTAGTAAATCCACCTGAATGCATAAACAAGTGAAATATCATCCAATTAGGGTTTTGATCTACTAAATTCAGGTATAGTAACTTTGCTGCAAGCATGCTGACTGCACAAAAAAAGAGTACCATGTACTGTATAGTATGTCCTCAATCACCCAATAGAAAATCTAATCCACTTTACAAGAGTCGGGCAAAAGGTTGAATACATGGCCAGCCAATTAGCTTATTAAACATCTTTCTTTCCCTTTAACAGTAAGTATTTTTTATATACTTGTACATGTTTTATTTCAGTGGCAATTATAAGCACACTAATAATGTCTGATTTTATAGTGTTACGTAGGTGTGATGTGTTCTATATCCAGGGTAATGAATTGCTTGCATGGATATGTTCCTTGTTGTGATCTTGGGCTCCTTTTGCTAACAGATTTTGGCTCATGCTTCCTAATAGCACAAGTTATTGCCTATTGGCAGGTGTTAGGCCCTGTACCTTTATGCTTGCCCTTTGTACTTTCATTAGGATGGAGCCTAACACATTTTGTAGGAATGCTGGTGCTATAAACTCCCTGTGGGCAAATTGTTTTGAAACCTTTTATTCCGCACAAATAATCCTCCATACTTTTATTTTTTGCACCTGCATTAAATAAATTAATAATTGGAGATTGTTTAGCGTCCCTGCTTGAAATGCTATTGTCACCTCTACTCCCCCGATTTGAACGTTGTTCAATTTGTTTAATTTCCCGAGATTTTTTTTTTTTTTTTTTTTACCAGCTGCATCCATCGTAGAAATAAACATATTTTCCATCTGTTTTACAATACTGGTTACTTTGATTTTTTTTTCTTCATTAAATATGTTGTTATTTAGCACATTCCTTGGTGTTACATAGGTGAATGATCAATTGTATGTTCTGCAGTTATTTCTCAGTAGGACTCAAGTGTGTGCAAAGAATGTTAAGTGTTGTATAAAGTAACCAGATACTTCCTTTCCAGGACCTGTTTTTTTTTTTTTTTTTTTCTTTAGAGATCATGCTTGTTATTACAGGTAAGATTCTATTATAAAGACCCAGCCTGACAACAACCAGTTTGTAAGAGCAATCATACTCTCTCAAAGCACTATATAAAAGAAAAAAAAAAAGTCTGACGAAGAAGCAGTAGCTTTGAAATGCGTTACCACCCCCCCTCGCGGTATTACGCTCACGTGGTGACGTCACATCCGCCTGGCAGCCATCTGTGTTCCAGCCTGGTTCCTACACAGACACAGCCGCGGAACGCTGATAGAGACATGATGTGAGTCAGGAGACCTGGCTTCCTTCACAGCCTTGGCCCCTAGATTTCCGTCTATCCTCCCCTTCTGCCTCCGGGATTCCTCCAGGACGACATCCTCATTTGAGACATATGCCTCTGACCCACTTGTATCTAGTGAGTTACCAATCTTTTTATGCCATTAAATAAATGTTAAATATTGCACTTAGTCTGGCGTCCCTTTCTTCTTTTTTCTTTCACAACAGAGTCCAGCTTAAATCTTAGGGTGCTGCCTCCTGATGGTACTGAGTATATACAGACTACTCCCCCACGACTAATGGGACTTTAAAGTTTTTCCTTTCCATCGCCAATATTTTTACCTTTCGTTGTCAAAGCATTATAGACTGCTAAATTTATGCAAATTTGAAGACCTATACTAAGATTTGTAGGCTGCCATTGATGACCTCTTTTTCCTTTATTTCTGATTCATATTCCACAATATCAAGCAGGTCTCTATTTGATCAATTGAAAGGTGTGCAATGTATAGAGGGGCATGTCTACACTCAAATTTTTTTTTTCTCTCTAAGAGTTGAAATGTGTGTAGCTTTCACCGTATATAGAGCCTGCAAACTGGGGAAAAAAAACAGATACATTGTAGATGGACGAATCTCCTGATGATGTTGTATGTTGACAGTCGTCTGTCAAAATACTCGAACAGCAGCTGCATCTGATTGTATGCAGCCTCTCCCTGGCTGACAACTTTCTGTCCGTCTACTTACATTTTTTTTTTCAGTTGAGGAATGTCGGGCAAAAGGTGGCTGACAGGGCCACCCACTGGGCAAATATGAGATGGTTCTTCAGGAACTGGCTGCAATGTAACTGCTAGCCACCCAGCCACAGTACATTTACTGTAGGTGGGCAGCAGCTACAGGCTAGGCAACGTACCCGTATATTGTGACCTGTTTTCGGGCGCGTGGGCGTATGCCCCCTGCTGGTCTGTGCTGTGCTTGGACATGGCATGAGTTTGTCAGCAGGTTTTAGCCAATGATTTTGGCTGTATACCTGATGATTAGCTGTGGCCAATCACAGCACAGAGTTCTGTGTTTACCAACAGAACTCTGTACACAGAGCAACACAGGTACCCCTGGATTGCCCCTTGCTATTAACCACTACCTAGCCAGTGTCCGTACAGTGTACATTATTATCACTGTACTAGTGTCACTAGCGATGTCAATATCTGTGTCCCTCCCAGCCAGTGTCTGTTAGTGCCAGATTGTCCGCCACACTATCATAGTCACGCTATAAGCCGCTGATCACCGCCATAACTAGTATAGCATCTATAGCTGCGTAAATTCCAGTATATATACCATAGTGTGTAGACGCTATAACTTTCACACAAACCAAAAATATACACCTATTGGGAGGTTTTTTTTTTTACCAAAGACATGCAGCAGAATACATTTTGGCATACAATTTATGAAGAAATTTAATTTTATTGGATATGTTTTAACAAAGTAGAAAATATGGTTTATTTCAAAAGTTTTTTTTTTTTGTGTACATAAAAAAATAAAATACCCAGTTATGATCAAATACTACTCAAAGAAAGCTCTATGTGTGTGAAAACATGATATAAACTTCATTTGGGTACAGTGTTACATGGCCAAGCAATGTCATTTAACCTCCCTGGCGGTATTCCCGAGTGTAGCTCTAGGTAAAGTTTCAGCACCAAAAGCGGTACCCCCGAGCTACACTCGGGAATACCATGCAGCACTTACCTTGTCCTGCGCTCCCACAATGTGTCCCCTGCAGCGTCCCCGGCCATCTCCTCCGGCCGATGCCTGCAGCTGTCTTCCGGGTTCCAGTCCCTGTGACGTCGGGACGTACGGGGGCGGGAAATTTTAAAAATTTAAACACTGACATTCACAAAATACACTAAAATCACATAGTAAAACATTACTGTATCAAAGCATTTCACATGCATTTTGTCCCTAGTGCTTTGTCCTGTGCCCTGCCTGCATTTTTACTGTTCTTTCTGCCTGGAAAATGAGAAATGTCCATGGCGTCCAAAAAACATCCCTTTAGGTCAAAAGCGGTTTTAGACCAGCTAGAGAACAGCGATAGTAAATTAAAACAACTTGCAGAATTGAGTGATGATTCAGGGGGAAATTCGTCATCAGACACTGAAAACGATTCTGTGACTGAGCTCAGTAATGTGCAAATTTGGCACTATATTTCAAATTTCAGTGTTTTTGGTTTGATTATATTATTGAATTAAATGTATTATTATATTATTTTTTATGATTATATATTATATTATAATTTATGATTTCGTGTTTCAAATTTTAACATACCCGGGATGTTTACTAGACTCTTGTTCGGACAGATTTCAGTGAGTTATTCCTAAAACATGTTGCAACACCATCTCTGACGTCATCACGCCATTCTAGTGCCCTGCATCTGCCCTGACAATCTGCATGCTGTCCACACCCTTCTGGTTCCTCTGCATGAGGAAGTGCCTGAGCTGGGAAAGACTGCCATCTAGTGGAATTGCATTACTTGCTGCTTTTTGAATCACACACTGTGGGTGCATTATATCTTCGTTTCTTTGAGATCTTATAAACTACTACACTTAGTGGCGCTGTTTCTCTTTCCTAAGTCTCTTACATATATATTGGCCTTCTTAGGGCTCTGGGGTGGTGTAAAGGCAAATTTTCTGTGGGCTCAATGCATATGGTTTAGGAAAAGAGATTTAATTTTCAATTATGGAAATGTTTCTTCACAGTGAGAGCTGTGAAAATGTGGAATAGACTTCCTCAAGAGTTGGTTCTGGCCAGCTCAGTGGATTGCTTTAAAAAAGGCCTGGATTCTTTCTTAGATACACAGAATATAACTGGATACTAACATTTATAGGTAAAGTTGATCCAAGGAATATCCGATTGCCTCTCGGGGGATCAGGAAGGAACTTCATTCCCTGCAGGAGCAAATTGGATCATGCTTTGCTGGGGTTTTTTTTGCCTTCCTCTGGATCAACTGTGGGTATAGGATTATAACTTTTTTTTTAAGGTCGAACTGGATGGACTTTTGTCTTTTTTCAGCCAGACTAACTATGTAACTATGTAAGGTTACTTTGACACTGTTTTTTTTAAATAACACTTTAATGTCTGTACTGTGTAAATGCAGCAGTAAGGTAATTGAGTGACAGATTGCAGACAGTGGTTTTTTTGGCACTACCAACTAGAATCATTTTGTCTTCTTACATCTTGTTTTTGTTCACATCTGGTTATGCAGGATGGACTGAGCTGGTGCATCACCTAGAATTTGTTCTATTCCAGGAAAAATCAGTATACATACTTGCTTCAAGATTGATCTGGTTGTAAAATAATATAATAGTGTCAAGTGTTGGATTTGCCCCTGCTGTGGCCAAGCACAAGTTTACCCTGGTCTGCCTTATGCAGTCTTTTTATGCTTAAAGAGTAACTAAAGGCGAAACTTTTTTTTTTCCATTGTTACTAGTGTAAGAGAGGGTTATAATTCCCATTCAGGGTTTTTTTTTTTTTTTTTTTTTTTTTGCCATCTGTGTCCCACTGGGGAGATTTCCCTTCACTTCCTGTCTCATAGTCAAAACAGATAAGAGGAAATCCCTCCAAAGGGAGGAAACTCTGATGTGTCACCAATACGAATGTCCCCATGGGAAGATTTCTCCTCAATTAGTGTTATTTATTTATTACAGGTACTTATATAGTGCCGTGAATTTATGCAGTGATATATATACATACTAGGTCCAATTTAGACAGGAACCAATCAACCTAACAGTATGTCTTTAGAGGGTGGGAAGAAATTTGCACAGACACAAGGAGAACATGCAAACTCCAGGCAGGTAGTTTTCAAACTGATGACCCTAGTGCTGCTAGACAAAAGTGCTAACCACTTAGCCACTGTGCTGCTGCTGTGTTCTGATGTCAAACCAAAGTTGACATATTGCAATAAAAATTGACAAGTGTTCTAATCCCTCTCCACCCTATCCAAAGCAAAAAAACGTTTTGCCTTTAGTTACACTTTAAGGAAGTCTTGAAAAAAGTTCAGGTCTTTGGGGTACCCAGGGGCAGACTGACAACTCATGGGGCCCCCATGTCCTCACCCACACCCAAAAAAGCTATAAAAAGGTACCAGGGGCATCTCATGGGGCCCCCTACTGACCCCAGTGCCCGAGTGCTCAAATAGTCAGTCCGCCCCTGGGGGTACCCCTGAAATAATTTTCACAGCTCATGGTATGTTAGGGTGATCAATGTTTTTTGGATATAATAATATATAATAGGGTGAATAATAACCTTCAGAGTGCAGAGATCAGGAGAAAAAGACACACGCTCACATGAACATGCATACACTCATATACACATAATATGTTGGCTGCCACATGTATGTGAAGATGAGAACTCAGTAACACGAGTCTTGACATCAACATCCAGTGTAAATACTTTATATGAAAGTCATCAAATGACTCAACAAGCCAGACTCTAACAAAAACTGAAATATATAATTTAGATGGACTGACCTGTTAATCTTCTTGGTAATGGTAAAAAAAATACATTTCCAGTGATTATGATATTCATGAGTGAGCAATTGTTGCCAGAGCTGCTAAAGCAATGATAACAAATGTAATTTAAAGCAAATCTAATTTTCTTTTCACACCTATGATTGCAAGGCCTGAGCACTTCCTACTTACACATGGAGACATTCACATACCTACAGTTAAACCTTTGGCAAATTGACATACTGGGTGTGATGACAGCAGGGTTCCTGCACCTTCGGGTGCAAGGCTGAATTACAGCACAGCATTGTAGAGAATCAAAGACAGAGTAAGCTGGGATTCAGGAGATAAATCAGATACAGCCTCATGGTCTCTCCTCTGCTCTCTTTATGATGGTCTGGGACATGGTCTAGACTGGAGACTGCTGGGTCCAAACCAGATGGCCAGAGTATTTTTGGACAGATTCTACTGCATGGGATGAGGGTGCAACTCGCCATGTGGTACCCCTCTCCCATCCACATGAACATACCACTGCTGAGGCATGGTGCCCCTTCCTCCCCTCACCTTGAGGTCCATATGCCTAGCACACACTGCATACATGGGGGATATGTCACTGGTTCAATGACAGCACTGATCTATTTGCTCAACCACTTCCATACCAGGCCCAGGCCTATTTTCAGGTTTCAGCGCTCTCACACTTTGAATGACAATTGCACGGTCATACAACATTGCACCCAAACTAAAATTTTATCATTTTCTTCACATAACTGAAGCTTTCTTTTGGTGGTATTTAATCACCACTGGGGTTTTTATTTTTTGCTAAACTAACAAAAAAAAGACCAAAAATTGTGAAAACAAAAACACGGTTTTCTTTGCTTCTGTTATAAAAGTTTGCAAATAAATAATGTTCTTCATAAATTTAGGCCGAGATGTATTCTGCTACATTTCTTTGGTGAAAATAACCCAAATTAGTATTTATTATTTAGGCTGTAGGAAAGTTATAGGGTTCACAAACTATGGGATATATCTGAAAATTGATCAGTCCTGAAGTACTGACAGCCAATCTAATTTCTTGAGATCCAAGAATGTCAGAACAGTACAGATATCCCCCAAATGACCCCTTTTTGCAAAGTAGACAGTCCGATGTACTTCATAAGAGGCATGGCGAGAATTACTTTACTATAAGCAAGCATTTATCTGAATGAAATAGATTCATTCAGGGGTTTTTTTTTTTTTGTGATTAGCTGTGATTTGGCCACGGTTATCACAGGACACAGCTGGGCTGTGATTGGCCCAGCTTGTGCATGTGACCATTGTATACAACTGTCATGTGACTTGCTGTGATTGGTGACAGAAGGTCACATGGTACTAGACACGGGGCCGGTACACAGATCTGTCACCGGCCATGTCCGAGGTACACGGCCGGTGACAGATCGCACTGCAGTGCTGGCATGCGCAATGCGCGCTCTGGAAAGGACGGCGTCCACCGGGAGGGACGAGCTGTTCGCCCAGGCCGCCATCTGGCTATAGGTTGGGGGGCAATGGGTTAAAGCGGATCTCCACCCGAAAGGGGAAGTTCCACTTTAAGCCTTTCTCTCCCGCTCCCCATTAAGGATTGGCACCTTCGGGGAGCGGTACCCAAATTTGACAGGTACCCAATCCCACTTCTGCTGCTCTCACCCTAGGTGATTGGAAGCAGAAGTTGTCCTGCCCCCCTCCCTCCCTGTAGTCTTCTGGGACATGTGACAGGTCCCAGAAGATGACAGGGCCATTCAAAAAGCACATGCGCAATGGGCACCCAGCTGTGAAGCCGCATGCTGTCACAGCCGGGTGCCAACACTGAAGACGCCAACGCCAGGGAGAGAAGACAGCCGGTGAAACCAGTGGTGGTGAAGACACCGCTGGACCGAGGGACAGGTAAGTGTCTGTATTTTAAAAGTCAGCAGCTACAGTTTTTGTAGCTGCTGACTTTTTTCATTTTTAGGTGGAACTCTGCTTTAAGCTGGTCAGAGATGGATCGAATCTCAGACAGTTCAGCTGAGATTCAATCCATCTATGGGCAGACTAATTTTACTGAAGTTAATCCATCCACAGCCATTCACTGGGAAGATTAGTGTACTGCTGTTTATCCTCCCTGAGCTTCGTTTGCAACGGAGACAGATGGTATGTGATCACTTATCAAACTGAATGAGTTGTTTTAAAAGGTGAGGGTTTACATATACTTTATCTGTTTGAATGAATAAAGCAAAGCTATGCTCTATGTTCGTCCTAGGTTATACAACACTCCCATCTACTGGTGTAGAGACTAATGAGAAAATGTAACGGGCATCAAAAAAACTGTTATGACTCATGAAAAGTCTTGTCCTCCCGATCTGAAGAAGATGTACAAAAGAAGGTTGGAATATAAGACTAGCTTATATTTTTCTTTAGTCTATTTGTCAAAAACGTATTTGGGGAATTTATCAAAACTGGGGTTGACAAAATCTGGAGCAGCTGTGCATGGCAACCAATCTTCATCTTGTTCAGTTAAACTTTGAAAATGAAAAATAGTTGATTGGTTACAATGCATAGCTACTCCGATTCTTTCAGCTCCGGTTTTGACAAATTCCTCTCAGAG